TATATAATTAACTGACCTTAAACTGAGGCAAATTGTAGCTTCATCTGTCCACTGCCAATCACCCAATAGAATACTAAACCTCAATGACGTGATCGATCTTATACTGTTATTATTTACGTTATAATGTATACGGTGTATGTACACAATGTACTGGCACGGTTGTACTGAAGATGGAAAAGAGCACAACGTCTAGTTCTAAAGTAAAGAATTCAAGCTACGCCTACGACCTCACTCATGTGCGCATTTATGCTTTTTACTTGCTTACTAAACTGCATGACCTACTTTCTCAAGTGCCAGCAACGCAGCATCAACAGAGCATTCAACCTCTCTCTATATTCAATAACATTAACAACTGTCACGCTTGATTTATCCTTAGAAGAGTGTCTGCAAAAGCCCTTACATCATAATCACCTTAAGCTCTCTCGCTTCATTAACAACATCATCTAAAACATTAACTAACACACTGAATTAACAAAGATTAACATTAATTACAGAAAGGCCTCTGGCCAACCTCGTATACTTTAAAGGTTCTTCACCTTTTCCAAGTCCTATCCAGGTTAGGGTGACTGCCCGATGTTGGTTTCTCCGATCGTTGACCTCTGTTGACCTCGAACTGCATTGTGGGAAGTATGGAAGAATCCACGTGCAGTCCGCCAGACAGATTTTGGAAGATCGTATTTATCAATAAAAAAAAAAAGACTCAAACTCTTTTCTGTAGCTCGTGAAAGTTGTTGTAAATTGTGTACATTTGCTGCATTTCCCCATTTTTTTTTCAAAAATTTTATTAAAAAAATATATGCAAATGAACGAAAACTTCCTTGTGCCACCTGTGAACCTCACCTTGGTAGAAGATTCCAAGATGGCTGCGCCGTGTACGAAGGGGGTGTTGGGATATGTTTTGTGTATTTTCATCGTGTTTTCGATGAAAGTGCGGAATATAAACTCGCAGCCTCCTTCAACTTTGCGCCAGGTGAACTTGGTAAGATTAGTTATTGCAATATTGTTATTTTGATGCCAGTTTAATTGATACCTGATATATGTTAATTATTGTTATTGTGACTCTCACATGATCACTCGGCCTTACATAACATAACACAAGATTGCATAGATTACTGTAGAAGTAGTACACTGGTTTACTACTACTATTGATCAGTTGAACTGTGTGCACTCTGTGTGAAATAAATCATATGCTTTTGTATTCCACGGCTGATTATTTCAATTGATTTTAACTGGTCAATAAAACATAAATATGGGATTGTGATATTTCTGATTAATGTATGTCCCAAGACCCGTGTGTTTCAGCATTTATATAAGAAAACAGTCAGCGTGCTGCTTATTTTGGAGTGTGTGTCTGAAGGTTTATTTCTAAGATCTACAGTTAATGCTTTCATATGAATATTGTAAATAATTTTTTTTTTTAATAAATAAATTTATCTTTTAATCTGAAACCAGGAAGTGCAGGCTGCCATGATGAAGCATGCAGTAGCTTCAGGTGTATTATCCAAATTCAAATACTCTTAAAAATCATTTTTGTTTTTTAGGAACTGTATGCCTTGTTTTGATTTTATGTCAGCAATTTTTTTTAATTAATTAATTAATTTATTTTTTGTTTGCTTTTTTTAAATAACTGAATTTTTTATTTTGTAAACATTTTATAATTTTGATTTTCTCATCAAAAATCTTCCTTTTTAAGCTGTATCGCCATGGAGACCGAAGCCCCGCAGGTGGAACCTTTCCGACTGACCCTTACCAGGAGGATTCCTGGCCACAGGGATGGGGACAGCTGTCAAAGGTCTTAATAAATGATAAGAATAATAAAATAATTATTGAGAAAAAGTTCTTTATAAATAATGAATTATTAAGCTGTGTTCACAACCAATTTGAGCAGGGCCTATCTAAGCCTTGGCTTAAATATGGCATTACCCACACAAAAGTATGCCACATACTCCCTGTGGGGATGGCGTGCGTTGGAAGCAAGGAGTATATTAGGGGATTAAGCACATTTGATTTCAAGCGTGTGCCATATTTGAGCTGTGGTTCAGCTAGGCCCCAGCTCGACTTAGTTTTGAACAGAGTCTTTAAGTCTGTTCCCAATAAAACTATCATACCCAGTAGATCGATCCAACTTCGAAGGGGTTTCTTGCTGAATGCAGTCAGATAAACTGTATGTGACAAATCCTCAAGCAGCTAGAGGTGATTAAAGGGATAATAACTCTTTATTTCGGCCAAAAAATTAATTTTCCTGGAGTGAACAACAATTTTCCCATACTTACCAATGGTTAATGAATCCATTTTTACATTCAAAGTTAGTCCCTGGTTTTTTTCTAAAAAGTTTGGTTTTTTGTTAAAATCTCTTATGAGATAATAACAGAGTATAGCCATCAATGGAGGTCACGTGGTCTAAAGACAAGCTCAGATATCAGAATAATAGCTATAACTGCTGTTTTTGTGGTAAAACAGAATATATTATATTTCTATGAGTTATTCACAATGTTTTTATTGTGAAATATAGATCTCATAAGAATAGTTATAATCCCTTTAACTTTTATATCTCTTGGCTTCTGGACGCTTTTGCTTTTTGTTTTGAGTGAGTCCAAATGCACACGAAAGTTAATTAGTACCCAGTTGATTGAGGAGGGGTGCCATTCAGTTAATAGGATGGCTTTCATTGTAAATGCACCCATTTACTATTTCTTGCATTCTTTGTCTATTTGATGCTTAGGGACATACTTCAGAGTCATTTCAAATAATATGGTGGCCTTTTGTAATATAAATCTATAGCTTTAGCCTTACTTAGATAATGTGTGATTATGATATTGATAGAATATTTGGATAGATAATTTGTGATTATAATATTATTGATAGAATATTTGCATTATTGTAATGTGTAATATTTCGTCGGCATATTTTGGACAAAGAAAGCCAAGGTATGTACTGTAGTTAGTCAGTTCACATATTAAATTAGTGTACTGTATTGTGTGTAAAAAAGGCAAAATATCAAGGTTAACAATGGACTTAGCATACTTACATCTTGCAAGTTCAACCTCTTGCAATATTTATAACAAAAATTATTTTTCCTCAAATTTCCGCCTTTTTTTCCCTGAATCACCAAGTATACCCCATCGAAAACTGGTCAGAAAAGTGCAATCTATAATTCCATTAATCAAATCTGAATTTCTGATTTTTACCATCAGGAGTCAAATTCACCAGTCTTTATCTCCATTACAAATAATTCTGTATGATATGACTAATTGGACTATATTTTCAATGATTTCAGCTCGGGATGCAAGAGCAATGTGAACTTGGACAATTCCTGCGTAAGAGATACAACGGCTTTCTGAACAGCTCATACATCAGAACAGAGGTGAGAGTTTGTGAAATTTCCCATATTTATAGACCTTTCCAAATGGGAAAACAAATACAATACAATTTGACTGTCTGAACAGCTCATCAGATTTCAACATCTATCAGAGCATCTTCATCAGGGAATGAGGCTATCCAGGAGAATAGCCTCTATTCAGTAGTAATGAAGATGCTCTAATAGACATTGAAATAATGGAGTTAGACATTTTTATATTTAGCTGTTGATTGATGAAAAAAGTACTTTATTTTTATAACATAAAGGGCTGATAAAATCTTCTCTGAAATATATGGTATGATTTCAAGAATGAAGTAACCTTTCTTCAGTCAAAAGCTAAATATTGAAATAGTTTTACCTCAAATATTTCGGGGTCTAGCAGAATGTCTTCATCAGGAAATGAAGCTATCCAGGTGAATAATTACTTCATTCCTATAACATAGAACAGCTGATGAAAATCTTCTCTAAAATATATGGTATGATTTCAAGAATGAAATAATTTGCCGTCAGTCAGCAGCTTAATATAACATAACACAGCTGATGAAATCTTTTCTGAAATATATGCTATTATTTCAACAGTCTATAATCCACTTTTCCACATGTCCGCAGATCACAGTTCGCAGCACAGACGTGGACCGTACGCTGATGAGCGCCCAGTGTAACCTGGCCTGCCTGTATCCACCAGGAAAAGAGCAACAGTGGAATAAGTCCATCATCTGGCAGCCTATACCTGTACATACTAGACCAGTGGATGAGGACCCTGTATGTAGAAAGTCTATCTCTCTCTCTTCTCTTTTCCTTCTCTCCTTCCGTCCCTTCTTTCCCTTACCCTCCACTCCTTTTCTCCCAATTTCTGAGTGCACTTCTTCTCTCATTACCCCTCTTTTTCTTTCCCTTCACCTGCCCCTTTATCTCTCTCTCTCTCTCTCTCTCTCTCTCTCTCTCTCTCTCTCTCTCTCTCATTATTTCAAGAACTTAAATGCTTTAATATTCTCATTATTTATTTTTATGTTTGTTTGTTTGTTTGTTTGTTTGTTTGTTTGTTTGTTTGTTTGTTTCAAGTATCATCAGTGATATGTTTTCACAGTTTCAGCTGAATGTTAATCAGTTGTCAAAACATCTTTTATTTCAGTTGCTACGGACTGACGAGCCATGCCCAAAATACAACAAAGTTTTCAATGAATTGATGCAGTCAAAACTTGTGAAGGATGAAGAAGTACAGAACAAAGTAAGGGGTATTAAAAGACATGTAATTAGTTAGCCTGAAGCTTATGCATTAGTTGTTGTTGTTTATTTATCTTTTTTGACAGAAGTAACTGAACTTATATACAGTTTATCCATCTATTCTGAATATAATGTAAGACTGCATTCCCACAGATTTAGATCGATCCATCTGGATCTAACTCCCTGGGGGTTCACGCTAAATTGCTGTCAGAAGAGCGCGCACGGAAGTTAATTACTCTCTTACAGCTTGTAGTAGGCAGGACAGACATTTAAGCCAGCTAAGTTGACAGTAATCTAGTGAGACTCCCCACGGGGATAGATTGATCTAAAATCTGTGGGAATGCAGTCTAAAAGTAAGGGGGTATTAAAAGAGATGTAATTAGTTTACCTGAAGCTTCTGTATTAGTTATTGTTCTTTAGCTTTTTTAGACTGAAGTAACTGAGCTTAATACAGTTAAATAAAAGGTAACAGAGCTGTTTTTTTTTTTTTTTTTTTTTTTGTGTTGCAACTTGGGTTACGTCCTGCACTGAATTGTAAGAGTGGGCACAGCTTAGGTGTTTGATTATTTATTTTGGAAAAGGAAATTTTTGAAAATTCTTGCACAGCTTGTCTTTATGAGTAAGGGCAGACTGCTTTGTGAGGAATGATTAATATAGTAATATATATCTTGAAAATGATACATTTGTGAGATTCTTTCACATGTCTTCCCATGTCTCAGAAGCCTCATCAGTAAATATGCTCCTTGTTCTTTACCTCACCACTATAATTTCAAAATTGTCAAATTGGCAGTGTACTATCTTTTTTTAAAGAATTTATTGAAATAAGCAAAGAATTGACACAGAATGACAGCACCGTAGTATATGCTACAATAATTTGATTTGTAGAACTATTGATCTTGCTGAAATTCTTTATCATCTTATACCATCAAGTATCGTTAATTATTGTATAGCATCTAATATAATCTCCTAAAAGGGCTCAGAATCCAAATCCTCATTATGGTTAGAATTTTGAAAAATTTCCAAAATATACCTTTTTTTTTCAGAATACATTCTAAGTCTGAAAAAAAGGATTTGATCCCCTTTTGAAACATTAGTAAACATAGTATTCACAGTCATTAATTAATAAGTCCATTGATCTGTTCTTGGCTGTTGGTTTTAATTCCCATAACACTGTTCCTAGTCAGAGGTTCTGCATTAGTTAAATTGTTGTACTACACTTGACCAACAAAAAAAAAATCGAAACGTGGAATTTTTTTTCAATAATTAAAAAAACATGTTATTGATATATTGGGAAAAACTCCAATGTATATAATAAGGTAACAAACGGTGGGTGCATTATCCATTAATATTTGGTTAAAATATTTACCATAGCTCGTGGTTATTTCATAATGATAGTTAAAAAATAATGATGTTTCCAAACTTTTTTGTCAACATCATTATTTTTTAATGCTCATTGCTACCCAAAGTGACTGATTCTCAACACCAGAATTGTTACTAATTTAACTTTGGATATATTTATTATTTCAGGCCTTCTACCAGTTCATAAGCAACAAAACTGGATATCCTCATGAGAATATCAGTATCTTCTGGGACGTCCAGGATCCACTGTTTTGTGAGGTACCATAATGGCTCAATTCATTAACTATGAAAATTATGAATTTTACAGATACTGTTTTTGTTTTAATAATTTTTTTTTAAATTAGAACATTCCAAATGAATGATGGCAACACAATTGAAAAACCAGACTACCTTTTAGTTAATGTCGTACAGTAAAAGCGCCAAAGTTCTTCATGAGCATTTAATGTATAGTTAATGATTCCAAAGTTATGTATCTAAAAATTTGATAATTTTCCCAGGTATAATGATCAAAACATTACAATAGATTTGTTTAGCCCCTGGTACACCATGCTTGCGAACATTTGAAAAAACAAACTCTGGAACGCTCTCTCTCACATGGTTTTTAGCAAAAGAAAAGGCTGCAATATTGAAAGTCCATTAATACTGATATATAACTTTGACATTGACTAACAAATATTATCTAGTTTTTCACTGTGTTTTATCTTCAGTGGGTACACAATAAGACCCTCCCTTCATGGGTCAATTCCACATGGCAGCCCACAGGGCAGAATGTATGGGACATGATCAGGAATACCACAAACTTCTCTTGGCAACTGCTGTTTCGGACAAAAGAAATGAGAAGACTTCGAGGGGGTAGGTTAAGTGTTAAATGGAAGGTTGAATTTGAGGGGCTATATATTTGAAGATTTCTAGTCGAGTCCCATATCTTGGATAGAAAAATCTATTACCTGTACCTGAGATAATTGGCTAAACAAAGCTGTCTTTGAAGTTAATGTGTGTGTGTGTGTGTGTGTGTGAGAGAGAGAGAGAGAGAGAGGGAGGGAGGGGGGGGAGGCTCTTCAGAACCAAGTTGATCCAGGGACTAACTGATCAAATATGGTGCGTATTGGACGTTGGATTCCCTGCCTCCTACACGGTCATCCCTGCTGGGGCAGAGCAATTAAATCACAGCATGCTTTTAAATGAGTTGCACCATAATTGAACTGCTACTTGGTTAGTCTGTGGATCAACTTGAGGACCAACTCTGACCAGGCCTACTGAGAGAGAGAGAGAGAGATTTGTTGTGATTGGCATCATATACTATTATCTGACTGATTTCATTGCAGGTTTGTTGGTGGGAGAGATGATCAACAACATGAAGAATAAAATCAAGCTTGGGCCAAACAACAAGTCTGAACCCAAGATGCACATGTATTCAGCTGTAAGTTTAAAGACACAAATCTTGTTAGACTTCTATGTAGCAAAGTGTGAATATTCCATTAAATTTCCATATTTTTCTTCCTTGCCCTTCCTTTAGCGAAGTCCTTTATCCACCAATTAAAACACTTTTTTATTTGCAAACTGCACATATTATCATTGCACTTTGAACAAAACCATTGAAATCACTTGGGTTTCTTTATTACCAGCACGACACCACTGTGGCCGCCATGTTGAATGCTCTGGATGTGTTCAATGGCGTCCAGCCTCCTTATGCATCCATGGTCGCCCTAGAATTACATGAAAAAGACAACTCGCACTGGGTAGAAGTTCTCTACAGGAACCTCTCCAGAGATCCCGGAGCCGTCAATGATTTTACACTTATTCATCACTTGACCATACCAAGTAGGGACATATAAAGCATACAGTATAAGAACTTCACATTGAATTGCTAATACAGGTCCTTCATCAGTTTGAAGTAGCATTTAAAAGTACTTGTCTGCTCAGCTAAAATATAAATAACAAAGAATATAGATATAGGGTACAAAAAATATACATATGGAAAGTATAGTACCTGACTTTTTGTACAGTTATGTCATCAAGAGATTTTTTTAATAATAAAAAAAAAAATAATAATAATGATGAAATGATTTTTTGTAAATTTCTGATTTCCAGACTGCAGTATCCAGTGTCCTTTTGATAAATTTATCAGCCTGACTAAAGACGTGATTCCAGTGAACTCGCAGGCGTGGGCAGAAGAGTGCGAGATGCCGTCCAGTACGACAAGTGGACTCAGCATGCGTATGTATCCAGCTTCACGTTGACCTAGTTAAAGGTTCCCGATATAGGTTTTAACCGCCAAAATGATTTTTCCTCAGAAGGGAAAAAAAACACGTTTTCTTCTATTCACGAATCGTTTTACTCGATTTGCACCTGCACTTGGATTCAATGTTTTTGTTCCATTTGTAATATAATGACTTACTTCTAATAACTGCCCTGTGACAGTTAATGACCAACCTCAGCATTCTTTCTATTTTTATCTTTTCAGCCATGATCATTGTGATTAGCATTGTGGGGGCCGCCATTTTGCTCCTTGTGATTGGTCTCAGTGCTCTGTGCCTCAGTCGAAGCTGTAAAGGAAAACGCCAAATGCGTTATCAGGAATGGAGCACGACAGGAATAACAAGCTGACAATACGCACCTCTCCTTGCACAGGATTTTGTGTCAGAAGACGAGTTGTGATTTATTATAATAGCTATTTAACTGTTAAGTATTCCAGGGGTAATTTCACAAAGAATTTCGGATGAAGTTTGGTCTGAATCTTAAGACTGGGATATTTGGTCTGCTTTAAACCAAGATAAATCGGCAATAGACCATGGAAATGAAACTGCACATGGAACAAACTCCATGAAAGGCAAAAAATGGCTCATGATTTTGATCAGTGACACTCAACTTCATTGGACTATCGCAGAATTATCCTGAATTGAAGTTGATCAGTATTAACGGTCTTCATCTTTTGACACACTTCTTGCCTGAAGTTTACATTAATTAATTTATTAATTTATTAATTTATTTATTTATTTATTTTGGGGAGGGGCAACGGTCAGTAAGGTATTTTTCATTCTTGGCTAATTTATATATAAAATGCTCTATTGTTTCAACTTTTTTGTCTGGCATGAGAAAACTGCATCTAGTAACAAGAACTCCCAGTGCCAAAAATTGTCTTTTTGATTAATCTCTCAACATTTTTTGGGGCAATAGATTTTTGTGTGAGAGCAGGGGGGGTATTAGCGTAGAAGACTGGCAATAGCCAGCAAAATTTCGAAAAATCTCTGTAATCCGAAAGCCTTTGAGCCAATGCATAAAGAATTAAGGAAAAATGAGATTTTTAATTTATTCATTCAAAATGAACTGAAGAAATTGTTCTTTTATCATGGGCAAGATGAAGTGATCTGAACTGATTTTGCAATATGAATGTCTTTTAAGTTTTTTCTATTTAATCTATGTGAGAAGATAATAAGGGCACTAATGATATAATAAATCTATAACGCATGTAATGAGCTTATATTGAATACATGCAGCTGCTCTGTGATTCTAATTTTTAATGGAAATCATCCAAGGGGGCCCAAAATCTTGTGACTTGGGGCCCCATTCCCCTAGACACCCACAGTCTAGGTAGATTTATCAAACTCTGCAGGGACTCTCGCTGAGTGCAATCAGCTTTAATGAATTACTTGCCTCCTTGCATTGAGTGGAAAAAAGAAGGGCTATTAGTAACAGGAGAAAGTTAGAAACAAGAGGAGGCCATTTGTTTACTTAAGCATGTTGTACTCAGCAAGAGTCACCCAAGTTGGCTCAATCTGCATAGACTGATGGTGTCTGTGGGAATGGGATCATAGTGTAAAAAAGTGGGGTTTTGAGGGAAAATGGGCGCAAAAATAAATGCAGCAACAAATAAAAGTTGATAGTATTATCCACCTTACACATATTCCGTCACTTTTTTTTGTCTTGTATGATGTCACAGTGCCAGGGGGCCCCTTTTAAAGGATCTCAGAAGATTCCCATTGCTATACAGCTGTGTATTGTGCTGCTTTGAATTAAGTGATTAAATTATGTCCAGTGTTTGTGTCACTGTAGTATTTATTAACTTGATATTTAATTGTTACTGTTACTGACGCTATATATTAAGAAAAATTACTCATATTGAGTGAAATTATAAGAAATTCCTGACTGCTTATGATATGTTATTGTATGATTATTGTCCATGTGGTTGTAACACTTATCTGAAATAAACGTATACGTATTTATAAGTAGTGGGTTTTGACAAAAGTGAGTTTCACACCGTACTTGTCACACTTATGATCTTTAAACAAGTGTGCCCCATCAACGTGTACATCAATTTTATGATCAAAGTTTATCAAAAATGCAAACGTCTCCATTACGAAAACCACGATAATTTAAAAAGAAATAAAACCCCTTTTGATTTGAATAATCTTATGGTTAATTTAGTCTCTTTGAGTTTGCGAATACAAATACCATTAAAATACATGGCAACCATACGCACCTGTAAATCCACGTACAGATAGATACGCCTCCTGTAAAAAAATGCAAGAAAAACTTAAACTCCATATAATAATTGGAAATATTGATATATATTGATTTAGGCAAAGAACATTTAGAACGAATGGTATGAAAATAAAACCTTGTTTACTTTTTCATGACAGCCAGATAAAACTCCGTTGAGCAAGGATGTTATCATATTATCCCGACAGAGACCAGTTATTTATTAAGGGCCTGTTTTGTATAGTCCATAACTATTCCTACCAATTAGATTTATTATTGCTAATACGTATCGTATTATTTGGTCCATAACATGTTGTGACATGGGTTTCCCGGTGCTTATTAATTAATTTATTTGACACTTGGATCCGAACGAAACTAGGATTTATCCATTCCATTATAATGTCAAAAACAGGATTACAGGTATGGCTATTGATCGATCAAAAATACTGGGTATCAACATCCATCCTCTTTCCCTCGTGCTGAGTTCTGTGGAAGTAATGTATCAAAAATATATGAAACAGCATGATGGAAGTAGCCTGCGCAGTATTTGTGGAACAAAGTGATGTATTTTTAAAAGTGTACCACGGTCAAATCTACCTGTACTTGTATTTGACCGTGAACATTCGTGAACAGATTCAGCCACAACCCCTCACCTAAAATGGGCCACACCTGTCTGTAATTTGCATAACAATAAGTTGCTCACCGTAGTGCGAGCTGTCTTCTCGAATGCTCAGTAGGCAGTAGGACACAGCAGGGTGAAGACGCAACAGCATGTGTGGTGCAGTCGCAAGGACGAGCTTTTGTGAGGCGAAGAAGCAAATGCATGTTTCGTAAGTAACGCTTTTGTCGTCAGTTACCTTTGTCAGTAGATACATGTAGGAAAAGCGTAGAAGAATGCAAAATATAAATTACGACAAGTATTTATGTTACGATTCTTAGTTATATTTTGCCTGTCGTTTCTTTTATGTCACTCAGAATATTAGCTAGCATATTATCATATGGAAATATTATCACGAAGATCACGGACTAATTTAGGTAATAATGCCGTACTTGTCACAGTTCTGAGCTTTTGATCAAAAGACAGTGTGCCCCATCAACTTGTACATTAATTTTATGGTCAAAGTTTACCAAAAATGCAAGTCTCCCTTTAGTTAACGAAAATCACGATAATTTAAAAAAGAAAATCTAAAAACCCTTATGGTTACTATTGTCTATTTGAGGATGCATTACTTTTTGTCAATTTTAAAACAGTTTTTGTAGGTTTGTTTATTTTATTATTCATGTACATCATGCACCAATGAAAATGTTTGTAAGCAGTGTTGAAATACAGGAAATGATTTATAATAAAACAAAATATGGCCCCCAAACGCGTGATGCATAAGGATTTAAAGATATTACAACATTAAATGGTAGGTAAAATAAATTAACGTCCCTTCTTGTATCATCCCCGATTTGATGAAGTGTTTTCAGTGTTTGTTTGTTTGTTTGTATTTTTCAAAGCAAGATATCTCAAATAACTTTAACATAAACTTCATATATTAATTTTGGCGTAAGGCAACCTTTATATCGATTTTTTTAGGGGGGTGCTATCTAAGCCTGAACTTTGGACAAGTCGGTATACACCCACATCATTTCAAGTGCCCTCTTCTCTTTGACGTAAAATGCATTATAATTAGTATTTTTCGAGCCTTTTCGTTTAGTCAGATATTGTTAACATTCATTTTTCATTTCAGAGGTCCACTAAGATACTGAGTACTGCAAGACACCCGCCTGTTAGCAACCAAGCCTTTCTTTCAAGTTCTGGAACCCTACGCACATTCATGCATCTAATGTATTAAACCTGAATAAATGCTTTTGTAATTCCGTGTTTTTTTTACTTTGATATGAAATAATAATGATAAAGATAGTAGTTATAATGAGAGAAAAGGGGTTAAATTATAAAGATATAGAGCACTTTCAAATTTAATAGGCTAAAACTGATCTCTAAATATTGTTTTTGAAATTGATGATTTCTACAGTAAGAGAAGATATTTAAAAAAAAAAGTTTAAAGGCTTTTAATATGCCCTGAATACTTCTACAAGATTTTCGTACAGCCCACATTTGTAAATAAAAATCGTATGAATTGACGATCTTGCTTTTTGAAAATATTTTACATTTTATTCTATAGTTAGACGTTTTTTATATAAATCTCTTGGAATAAATTAGTTTGATATCCCCGATATCATTTTCTTAAATTGATATAAGTCCATTTTTGATCAGATCTGGATTTTGCTACAGAATATGGATTCAAATTTCACGACCTTCTCATGATATAAATACTTCAATTTTAAATTTAAAAAAAATTGATAAAGTTTAGACTTCCTGACACACTTTTGAAATGACAACAGTTGCCCCCCCCCAAAAAAAGTCTGCATATTCCGATATGTTTTTAAAAGAATTATTAAAATATAATTTGAAATATATTGATCCCTTGATTTAATTTTGTGACCTAGATTTATTCCCATACGGTCCCAAATGTGCATATTGAAAGGTTACATTTTTATTAAATTGTAAAAAAGCAAATTTTGTGACCAATAACTTAATGTCTGTTTCTGCAAGATAAAAGTACGTCTTCCCTCAAAACTGCTAACACAATATTTTTAAAAATGAAATGTGCTCTTCTAAATGGCTAATTGCACCACCAATATAATTTTGTGAAATACTTGCATGCACCCCTCAAATGGAATGGACCCGCCCCACCTGACACCCCTCAAATTGAATGGACTCGCCCCACCTCTCAACTGTCACCCACATCAATGCAGTCACTCCAACCACACTATATCAAACTACAAAACAAAGTCAATCTAGTGTGATATTTATTTATTTAGGACATTTTTTGCGACAGAAAACAATATTAAAAATATAATAAAGATATTTATTTGCAGATAGATTGGCATAGACTCTTGTCAAACAATATAATAAAATATGAGTTTTTGATATTTGGTGGGCGTGGTTTCAGCTTGCGTTCGGATTTGCTGCTTTTCTCTTTTTGTACTGTGATTTCAATGTCAGGATTCATGTCTTTTACTAAAAGAAACTAATATCTCAAATTGTGCCGAGCATATAAATTCAGGGAAAAGAAACTATTCCGTTTTTCCATGGAAATTTGAAAGCATAATTAGCATGTTTATAGTGTATACATATAGTGTGGAATATAGGATAGGCCAAGAGAGATTTTTTTTTTTTTTTTTTTGAGCAGACGTGATACATCTTAAATTGGCAGATCCAGAATATATATATATTTCTTTGACCTACTACACTGCATCTTTCTAACCTTGATCTCAACACAAAAACAATTTGGGTAAATTACAACACATTATAACAAATTTAAAAATAAGTTCTTTTTCTTTTTGCTTTAATATGAAGGAGCAAAATATAGCGAAGATAGAGAAGATTTTATTTCATATTACTTTGACTTCTGTGTCTTTGATCGAAAAATAGCAATTATTTGTCATTCACAGGATCAGACACTTAAATAATAACACTTACAGATGTTGGAAATGAAAATGATTCCTACAATGTAAATAAAATTAACGTAAACAAAATTGAAACACTTTCACCTTTAAGTTTGAAAGTTGTAATACACAAATACTTTGAAAATTCATAGTGACACTTTTAAACCCTTAAGTGATTTTAACATTGCACAAAAAAAATAATAATAATAAAATTGCATCCAACTTGTCCCAATTAAGGTATAATTTGAAAATGAAAATGCTCAATACTGGGTATAATTTTAAGGGGAACATGATCGAACTTTGTACGCAATTTTTTTAAATATTCTACAAGATATATTCTAAAATATTCAAATCTTATATGTATATGGGGTAGTTCTAAATTTTTTTTTTAAGTCACAATAAAAGCATGTACCATTTTCGCCATATTGCATGTGCTTTTCGTGTCCGATGGAGCGCGTCAGTGTAAGGTTCCAAAATACGACTAGAAGGCTTTGGAAGATTCTGTTAGTCACACCCACGTACCCACGTGCATTTTGCAGGATCATCGGAGAGTTGGTATTTCTGAAATATTAAAAAGACGTTTTAATTACGATTTTAAAATTATATCCCAATGCAATGTACCGGTAAAATGAACACAGATAAGATAACTGAAAGAATATATTAATTATAAACGTTAAAAAGTCTATTCTACCCATTCCGTAAACTTAACAATTAAACGAGTTTCTGACAAACACATTAACGATATAAAACTAAAATCACACCAGGGGAGATGTATGTAAATTATCCTGACACTAACGTGCATTTGCCTCAGTTTTCGACATTATATGCTATAGGTTAACTTATTGCACAAAATAGGAACCTTACACTACAAGGTGCGACTGAGGGCACACAAGTTTTGAAAGTGTGTGGATATCTATAACTACTACATGTACAGTCTGAAACACCAGGCGACTTGAGGACTTACCTGCGGTACCTACAATAGGTTACGTTATAACACGCAAGGGCGAAAACTAAGGCAAGACATGCATTTACGTATACAGATACATATGCATTGTACATGTACCGTATTATCGAATCATGTGTATCAGACGAACATTCTTCTCACCTGTACATTCTAGTAGAAGATATTTTACTCACAAAACATATTTTCTTCAACCGTGGTTCCACCAAACGTGTACACAATGGGTCCGAGCTTCAACGCTGAATAAAGTGTGTTGGCTCACTGACTTCACCACACCTATAAATGCAGGTCGTCTTGTTACAAGGTCCAGCTGTCAAGTGACCAGCCAGGAGCAGAGCTCGCACTGCGGTGCGTGACTTATTGTTATGCAAATTACAACTGGTACAGTGCATGGCACATTTTGATTGGGGGGTTGTTGTGGAAATCAGTCTCAAAGAACGGCGAACCTTTTGAATATTAGTTTACTATTCTGACAAGGCTATAGCCAGCGCCCGTACACCTATTTGTTACCATACCAGTACATCATATTTCTCAAGGACAACAGTTTATATTAAATCAAAATAATCAAAATTTAAAAATAACAATGAAGATAGATGTAACAAAGCAAATATTAATAAAGTAATTGATAATGCTCATACATTACTCAGTCTGTATTACGTACAGCAAAAGATCGGAAGAATAGTTTGATTTTATCTTATTATGCTTATTTATTGTTCTTGGGAGGAAGAAGGGATACCTCCAATGTTGGACGGGGGAGAAAAGGAAAAGGAGGGAGGGAGAGAGGGAAAAGTGGTGCACGGATATAACACTTGACAATATTTAAATTTTTTCAGTCTCTGTCACATCTAGCGCAAAGAGGTGCTAAAAAGTTTCGGACGTGACATCAATTATACGTACATTTTTGGTGTATAAAATCACCATGTTTCCATCGTATTAAAATAAAGATACAAGCAGTGCATGAAATTGTTTTAAAATTTGCTCAAAACATTTTATCTCTCTACGGATATGGGAACGTACACTAACGTTTCCTGCGTACTCATGACTGAAAGGTACATGTATTCGCTGTAAGTAGAACCCTATGCGTTTGTCTGCTTATGGGCAATTTTTCTCATACATCCGTGCTTTACGTTAGGTGTGACAGTGCCTAAAACTTGAAACATTGGCGGATTTTTTTTTTTTTTTTTTTTTTTGGGGGGGGGTTTAGGGGGTCCTGCCCCCCCCCCCCC